AATCATGCTTTGCTGGGTTTTTTTGCCTTCCTCTGGATCAACTGTGGGTGTAGGATTATAACTTTTTTTTTTTTTTCTTTGGTTCAACTGGATGGACTTTTGTCTTTTTTCAGCCAGACTAACTATGTAACATGCAACATTTCATTCTTTCTAAATAAAAATGCATATTTGTTCAGTACTGAATGTTTTAAATTGTATGCATTTCCTTATAAGTAAAAGTGTTTTAAATGAGATGGCTGTTGTGGCAGTGTGATTTGTTCACACTGGTAGCATTTCCTTGGCTGCTACTGTGCTTGAGTCCGGAAGCAGGTTCAGTATATCTGCTCTTTTTCTTTGATTGATTAAATACTCTCTTTATTAAGCCCTTCACTAGTCTTGATTGGCCTTCCAAGTTGCTAAGTAATTATTTGTAGCAACAATGGAACTGCATTGTATGAGCAATGATAATGTTATTTATTAACAAGGTGTAGACACTTGATCTGCCAGCCTGCCTCAGCTTCACTTGTATTACTGATTACTTAAACACAGCCCCCATGGAGGTCATCCAGTAAATAATTCAGGCACCACAATACACTAGATTTCATAGAGGCAGTGTAGCGCGTGCTTGACAGCAGCAGTTTGATTCAGTGGGGAGTTCGGAAACAAGTTTCAGGGAAACAAATACTATTTACAAATTGGATTGTTTTCTTTAACAGTGCACAAATAGAAAACTTTAAAATAGAAACTGTATTTTTGTATTCTATACATTTTTTTGCAATTATATATTTTAAATCCCTAACTTGATAAAAAATATTATTTTTTTCCAACTTTTACATTGTGCTTGCTTTGTCAGATTTTTAGACTATTTCATGTTTAGGTTTGTAGATTTCTTATTTGTAGCGTAATGAGATGTTGCTCATTCAGGGTCAAGTAATAAGAGGCTTGGTATGGGCTGGACCCCTTCATACTTTCCGCTCCATTGCTCACTCTTCTGTGGCCATCACTAAAAAGTAACTGGTGTTTCCAGGAATGGGGGAGCCTTTATCCACCACTTGAAAATAACTGGTGTTTCTAAATATGTAGGGCATGTAATGTAGTGCTTGGTTTTGGGTTTTCTATTACATTATGTGTGTGTGTGTGTATGTATGTATATATGTATATGTGTGTGTGTATATATATATATATATATATATATATATATATATATATATATATATACACACACACACTTCCAAAAAGTTGGGACACTGTAAAATCTACATAAAAACAGAATGCAATGATTTGCAAATCTCATAAACCCATACTTGATTCACAATAGAAAACATATAAAGTGTTTCAGCTGAGAAAATGTACCATTTTAAGAATAAAGTAAAGACGTTTTGAAATTGATGGCAGCATCACAACTCAAAGCAAGTTGTGACAGGGCCATGTTTACCACAGTGTAGCATCCACTCTTCTTTTAACAACACTGTTGTTTGCTGTAGTTTTCATTTTCAAGATGCACCAATGTTTGCAATTGGTAAAAGGTATGGACTGCAGGCATGACAGTTAAGCACCTGGACTCTTCTACTACAAAGCCATGCTTTTGTCATAGATACAGGATGCAGTTTAGGATTGTTCTACTGAAATATGTGAGGCCTTCCCTGAAAACTGTCATCTGGATGGAAGCATATGCTGCTCTAAAACCTGGATATATCTCTCAGCATTGATGGTGCCTTTCCAGACGTGCAAGCTGCCCATTTTGTTCATACTAATACTATTACCATCAGGGATGCAGGCTTTTGATCTGAGCACTGATAATAGGTTGGAATGTCCCTCTCATTTTTAGTCCAGAGGATGCGGCACGCAGGATTGCCAAAAAGAATGTCAAATTTCAAATCATCTGACCACAAAACAGTTTCCCACTTTGCAACAGACCATTTTAAATGTGCTTTGGTCCAGAGAAGACAGCGGCATCTCTGGATCATGTTAAGATATGGCTTCTTCTATGGCACTGCAAACTGTGTTCAAAGACAGTAATTTTTTTTTAAGTATTCCTGAGCAAATGCAGTGATGTCCATAACAGAATCATAACAGTCTTTAATGCAGTGGTGTCTGAGGGCCCGAAGATCATGGGCATCCACTATTGTGTTTTGGCCTTGCCCTTCTGCACACAGAAATTTCTGCGAATTCTTGGAATCGTTTGATATTATGTACTGTAGATGATGATATATTGGAAGTCTTTGCAATTTTATATTGAAGAACCTTATTCTGAAATCGATCAACAATTTTTAGATGCAACTTTTCACAGATTGGTGAACCTCTGCCCATCTTTATTTCTAAGATGCTCTGGGGGAGATTTACTAAAACCGGAGTACTCAGAATCTGCTGTGCATGGTAGCCAGTCAGCTTCTACTTCAGCTTTGACAATAAAAATCTGAAAGCTTATTGATTTCTTTGCAATGATGCACCAGATTTTGCATGCTCCAGTTATAGTAAATAACTCCCTCTGACTCTCTAAGATGCTCCTTTTATACTTAATCATGTTACTGACCTGTTGCCAATTAACTTATTTTGTTGCAAAATGTTCTTCGAGTTCTTCCTTGTTGGTACCACTTACTGTGAGCTTTTTGTAGCTGTGTCCCAACTTTTTTGAAATGTGTTGCTACCATCAATTTAGAAATTGCCTTATTTTATTTTTCTTCTTAACCCCCCTGGCGGTATTCCCAATTGTAGCTCGGGGTAAAGTTTCAGCAGCACAACTGGTAACCCCGAGCTACACTCGGGAATACCCTGCAGCGTTGCTCCGGGATCCCTTCTGCACTGACCTTGTCCTGCGCTCCCGCAATGTCCCCCCTACAGCATCCTCAGCAATGTCTTCCGGCCGATGCGGCATCTGTCTTCCGGGTTCCATTCCCTGCGACGTCAGGACGTACGGGGGACGGAACGGCGGGAAATTTAAAAATATCGAAAAGCGACATTCACTAAATACACTAAAATTACATCGTAAAACATTACTGTATCAAAACATTTCACATACATTTTGTCCCGAGTGCTTTGTCCTTTGCCCTGCCTGCATTTTTACTGTTCTTTCTGCCTGGAAACTGAGAAACGTCCATGGCATCCAAAAAGCGTCCCTTTAGGTCAAAAGTGGTTTTAGACCAGCTAGAGAACAGCGATAGTAAATCAGAACCACTTGCAGAATTGAGTGATAATGATTCGTGGGGAAATTCGTCATCAGACACTGAAAATGATTTTGCGACTTTGCTCAGTGATGTGCGAACTTGGCGCTATATTTCAAATTTCAGTGTTTTTGGTTTGATTATATTATTGAATTACATTTATTATGTTTTATGATTATTTATTAAATTATAATTCATGATTTCGTGTTTCAGATTTTATCATACCCGGGATGTTTACTAGACTCTTGTTCAGACAGATTTCAGTGAGTTATTCCTAAAAATTACAGGCCTATAATAAAAAAAAACAACATATTTCCATGCAAAAAAAATGCTTTGAGCACAGAAATACTGACATAATCAGACCGCTAGGGAGGCTACAATGGTATATTTTCTCATTTTAAACATTTGGTGAACTTTCTGTTAGCTATTGTGAATAAAATATGGGTTTATGAAATTTGAATATCATTTGCATTCTGTTTTTCTAAAGATATTACACAGCATCCTAAATGTGTGTCTTGCCTAAAGAGAACTCTGTTAGTGCTGCCTGCACAGGCTTTGTCTGATTAAATAATGGGCCTGTGCCATCTGATAACAGATTAATTTGCTGCTCTGACTCATTGTTTTAAGTGTAGTTTGACCTATTGAGTAAACTTTTTTTTTTTAATTACAAAAAGGAATAGATAAACATGTGCATAGGATCTTAAAGCTCCACCTGCTGGCTCATAAGGAGAATGCAAAATATTAATATGCACTAGTTCATATTTCTATGATCCCTACCATAATAAAGAAAATGATATACAAAAAAACACTATACCTTCTTTTAGCTCAGCAACTGCAAAGCCAAGATGAATTGGTCAGTCTTTTTCTCTTTCATTTGGGGCAGATTAATAGCCTTGCATATGGAGACTGGTACAAGAGTAATTCCAGGCAATTGGTTAAAGTAGTCAGCTACTAATTCTATCACTTTAGCACTGACCAGTTGTAAAACCAGAAAGTCCTATCCTCTGGAATCCCCTGCACCCACATCTCACAGACCACATAAGAGGCTCAGAAAGGGAAGCAGAGGGATTAGGACTTTTCAAGTGGTTCTAAAGGCTGAAGTTTTTTTTTTTTTTTTTTTTTTTAACCTTTATGCATTGAGTGCAGTATGGTAAAAAAAAAATGTTTAATGTGCAGCTCCCCCCTCAGCCTCTAATACTTTCCTGAGCCCAAATTCGCTCCAGAGATGTGCATGAGAGCAGCAGCTCTCCCTCATTAGCTGAGATACAGAAGCGGGAGTCATTTCAACTCCTGCTGTGGTCAATCACAGCCAGTGAGGAGGGAAAGGGGTTTGGGACCGAGTTGCGCTCTGTGTTTTATAGACACAAAGAGGTGGCTCTGGAGCAGGTACACACGAGTGCCCCATAGCAAGTGCAGCTTGCTCTGGGGGCACTCAGCAAGGGGGGCAGCCAGGAGCGCCGGTGGGGAACCAGGGAAAAGGAGGATTGGGGCTGCTCTGTGCAAAACCAGAGCAGGTAAGTATGATGTGTTTTTTTTTTTTTTTTTTTTTTTAATTTAAATCTGAACCTTTTTGTATCATTTTTAAAGCCTGCTATGAATCTTTGAATGTGACTGGTGATGTAGGAAGCAGAATAACAAACGTTTGTGGCAATTTAGAATCTAATGGCTTTAAAAAAAAATTTTTTTTTTTTTTTTGGATGCATGTCAGAAGCAATGTGCTGGTGCATTATAGCAATGCGTGCATTTTTAGTTTTGGTTTGAATATACCTTCGACACACAAGTCACTCACAATCACTGTTTTTTACTACCAAGCAGGAAGCCTTTAGCATCATGAAATTGGTTGTTTGTGTACTTCTCATATAAATGCTTGTCTTTTTTATTCCAGACGTCCCAACCTCAGAGCAGCCTGAACTTTTCCTCAAGAAACTTCAGCAGTGCTGTGTCATTTTTGATTTTATGGATACATTGTCCGATCTTAAAATGAAAGAATACAAGCGCTCTACTCTGAACGAGTTGGTGGACTACATCACAATAAGCAGAGGCTGCCTCACAGAACAGACGTACCCTGAAGTAGTAAGAATGGTGAGTACGGTCATTGTCTGTGCTCTTTTACTGCATCCAATCTGCTCATAGGACCCTTTAAAAGTAATGGTTCTGTTAAATTTGGAAATCTGCAGGATTTGAGTCTTCTACAAATTAATTACCGTAAGGAGAAACCGTTCTCAGAATTAAGGCACTCGGTGACTTTTTGCATTACCTGTGTGCAGAAAAACAGACAAATGTTGTATCCAATAGACTAACTAGGGTAGAGTTGCCATTTATGTGAAGAATTTACAGTATGTGAAGAATAGCATAAAACTAATATTAAAAAACATGAACTATTTGAAACCCCCGACGTCTGCCTGCAAACCAGAGAGGGATTTTCTCTTAGAAGTGGTATAAGATAAAGGCCTCCAGACAGTTTGAGGTTTATGATAACCTGGTGATTGACATGAGGTTAAACATGGATGTAGTGTACAGGCATATGCAAAAAAAAAAAGTTTTTTTTGCATACACCCGCACACTATACTTATATTTGCACTGGCATATACCCGAGTACAGCAGGGCGCAGCTATTTATGTGAGGATGTACACTGCACTCGGTCTTCCTGGACAGTAGGAAATATGCTGGCATTTACATTGAATTGACTTGGCTACCTGTGTGCAAGTGGGCCTAACAAGAGATATTCACTATGACAGTGGGGCAACTAATATTGAAACTATCCTCAGGAAGGGTAGTAAGGAAGAAGCTGCCAACTACAATGAGTTAACAGATGTAGTAGTAAAACTGTAGTGGAACTAAAGTCCTGCTGTAAGAAACAGTGAGCAGATAGGCTTTGATTGTAGAAAAGTCATGTCTTTTTTTTGCAATTAAATGCCCCTACCCACTTGCTCGCTGTCTTCTACGGCACTGTAAACTGAGCGTCACATGCGCAGCTTGGCATTCAATGCCAGGATGACCAGCTCCTGCGCATTCGCAAAAGTGAGGTCATTCTGCACCAGCCAATGAAAAGGCCTGAAGACCAGCATTCAGAAGATGACCTTGAGGGACTGTTGGGCAGGTGAGTATTGACCCTTTAGTTCTTCTTTAATGAAATCCTAAAAAGAAGCAACCCTTTATTTTTTTTCCATTTAAAAAACACACAACTTTCTTGACTCAAAGCAGCAAGGTTTTACTAAGGGCAGTTCATGTCAAACTAAGCTGATTGAATTTTTTGACTATTTGGACATGGATGATGCTGTGGGCATAGCTTATCTTGATTTTCAGCAAAGCATTTAATATGGTTCCACATAAGTATCATAACAAAAGTTGTACAGGCTAAGACTTAACCCTTGGGAGGTTCAGTGGATATGTGTGGGTATGTAAAGGATCAGGGTGGATTTGATTTAAATCAAACTGATTTAAATCACGATTTAAATCACTAGTCAGTAAGGCTTGATTTAAATCCTAGTTTTCTACATAAAGACTAATTCTTGCTGGTATAACTTTAATATTCAAGTAGATGAAGATTTTTAGAATAACAACTTTTCATATTAGTTTTTTTATCCCCAGTTTAATAGGTTAATCATTCATATTTGGACAACTTTTCTGTTGTACTTAGGAAGGAGAAAAATAATCATTACCTTAATAATAACAATTTAAATAGATTTATTCAACAAACAATAACATTCCAGCATATGTGATTTGCTTAAACATCCATGTTTGTGAACTAATTTGGCTAAACAAAATATATATATTTAAGAAACTTAGACTGTCAGCCCCTTCCTCCTCACACTTAGTTTCACTTTCTTCTTGTGCAGATCTATTCCACTCCAAACAATCAGAAAAATATTGTTTCTATTCACTGAACTTCTTGAAACTTAGCACTGAAGGGGTTGATTCTGTATTCATAGGTTTGTAGAAGTTAGGATTAAGGTCTTTTTCTTAACTCTCTTCATGTTATAACATTTTTGCTGTGAAGAAGAGGCATGTGATCTCCGCCGAGTCAAATTCAGTTTTGAGAACTGCAAAAGTAAACCGAGCATCTGTGATAATATCTTGTAGGCAGAGAAACTGCCCAATAATCTCACAAAAACCTCTGGAAGAGCATGACATTGTGAATGGATTCATGGAATTTATTTACCAAAAAAATTAAACATATACAGCCTTATTCTACATAATTAAAAGCCTAATCTTTATTTCATGATGGAATAACCTTTGGATGGTAATATATTTTCCTCAAAAAGCATTTTATTTAAAAAAATCCGATTTAAATAAAAAAAATACGATTTAAATTAAAAAAAATCAGATTTTTTTTTTTTTAAATCATTGATTTTTATCCACCCTGTAAAGGATAGATATCAGCAAGTGGCTGTAAATGAGGTTTGTTTGGAGCAGAAACCAGTCACTAGTGGTATACCATAGGGCTCCATACTAGGTCCTGTTCTATTTAATCTGCTCTAGAGATGTAACTATAGGTTTGGTGGGTAAGGTATGCCTTTTTGCTGATGACATAAAGGTGTGCAGTAGGGTTGTTGTTTCTGGAGAAATCCATTTGACAATATTGGGAGTACAGTGCTGGCCAGAGCTGATACTTGTGACAGACTTTTAGCAGAGGTAGTCAATCAATCAACAGTAAATTTAATTGAAATATGATTAGGACAAACATAGCTCTACACCTGGACAAAGGGAAAAAAACACCAAAAAAAGATGCAGAGACTTGATGGATCTCTTTCTGTCGTCACTATTTGTATGCTTCTGTGCTCAAAATCTCTTTAGTATTATGTTAAGGTTGGTGGAGACAAAAATATTTAGAAGTACATTAGAGGATAATCCGTTCATACATATGTGCTGTATACTTTTAAATAATGAAAAAATTGTGCCAAAACACCCACATTGGCATAAATGTCAAATAGTGGGTGCACTGAAATGAAAATTCTGGAACTGAAAATTCAGAATGCACTTGGCCAGTCAATGAAACAGACCGTTTTTAAACATTTTTAAAATGTAATTAATGTGGCTATTGGGTTTGCATTGAAGTCTATGGGACGTGATTTTGCATTGAAGTCTATGAGACGCAACATACCATTATTGGCACCTTTTTTTTTTTTCTATCTTCAAAATACCGAAAACACTATTTTCGAACGATAATTTTTGGCGGCCAATATATATGTGCATCCCTAATTCCAAAAGGTACCCTGGAGAGACTCATCTGTACATGGTCTGGAGTGTAGCGGTTATAAGGATAAAGCGTCAGGCAGAACCAACCAATTATCTGCTTTGCATGAACAGTAATCCTCCGAGTCAGTCAGAGACTGATGGTGCCTAGGAATGTGGTCATATGAACTGCTCCCGTGGCAGCCCAAATCAGTGTTTTCTGCTGAGCAGCCCTTTTATTACCATTTACAGGGCAGGATGGTTGAGTGGAATTTTATTTCAATATTAGGGTGCATTCACACTTGCAAATGCACCCTGACTGCGATTGTATGTGAGAATCCCAGCAGGAGTTCCCGCGATTAGCTACGGGAGGCAGCCCCATTGAAAACGGGAGGCTGCTGGCTCTCGCACCTAATTGCTCCTAGTTGCATGTAGTTGCGCATGCAGTAATCACATGGGAGTGATCTGCCCAGGATACAGTCTGTATCCAGAGCTGATTACTCGCGTTTGATGCATCAGTGAGTGAATGCACCCTAAATCCACATTTCTAAAACCCTTTCTAAAATACCCCCTCAGCATTTTTATTAAAAAGAAAAAAAAAAGTGCCTGAAGCTGCACTCTGCACCCATGTTTATATGAGGATTGGTAATAGGTTTTTTATGCATAGGATACAGGGTTTGTAAGATAGCTATTAACCTATCATGATATCATTGTTCTCCACAACTCTCACAGCCATTATCCTGCACATGTATAATTAAATAGAGGTTTTTATTTAACCCTTGGCCAGCTTTCATTTGTTTCATATAATTACTTGCATGACACAAGGGAGATGTGCTTACCTCCTGGGGCCTCCTGTATGCCAACACAATTGATGTTTGACATTAAAACCACATGATAGCTTGCATAGATGTTAACCATTCAAGTGATTAATCGATATATAAGGGCCGCTGGTAAGTTTATTTAACCCAAGTCTTCTTGCGGTCGCTGCTTTTATGAGCTGTGGGAGCCTTCCTGATTGCTGGCAGTTTACAGATGTATATCCTGGTGCTATTTATATCCATACGGGAGTTAAGATATTCACCTTAAGTCAGCAGCACTCTGTTTAATGTGCTTGTCTCATAATTGGAGTTGTAGTTTATTCTGCTGTTTGAATTTAAGTAAATTGTGTGCCTGATGTACAAACACTGCAGACAGTTTAGAGATGCACATGTACCAAGATATACCAAAGGTGACCTAGAGTTTGAAGAGACTTTTTTGAGAAAGGGTTTAGGTGGAACTCCAGGTAAAACCACTTAATACACAGATGAAATATGTGTGGGATTTCTTCATTCAGTCTTGAGGCAGCACAGCCTCTAGCCCAATGGTACTCAACCTTCCTAATGCTGCGACCCTTTAATACAGTTCCTCATGTTGTGGTGACCCCCAACCATAAAATTATTTATCCAGTAATTATAATTCATGAAGTGTCGTTTTACCTCCAATACTGCTGCTTTCAACACAGTAGCTGCTTTTAACAGAGTAGCTGCTTTTAACACAGCAGCTGCTTTCAACACAGCAGCTGCTCTTTACACATCGGAAATATGTGTTTTCCGATGGTCATAGGCGACCCCTGTGAAAGGGTTGTTTGACCCCCAAAGGGGTCACGACCCACAGGTTGAGAACCACTGCTCTAGCCTGTAACACGACCGAAAAAGAGCAGCAATAGACTGAGGTCATCTCTCTGATATCTCTTCCTGTCAGCATGTTGCCTAAGGTCACATGTGCAAGACTCTTGTTTTGGCCCCAAGAGCTGCCCTCACCCAATCTGAATGTTGGTATACAGGACAGGGAATTAGAGACCAAGTCACTTTCAGTTATTTATAGTCTGCATAGAAAAGAATTGCCCCCCCCCCTTAAAATAATCACAT